TCGTTCCAGCGGGCTCTTGAAAATATTCAGGGCATAAAGCAAAGAGTTTCTTTGATCTTCGGACACGATTTTTCAACGGAGACTCGCCTCTTTATGGGGAACGTCACTGCTTTTTAAAATTTCTTCCTTTTTTTTCAGCTAGAAAGCAACAAAGGCAAGTTTCTAGTCCTTAGGGGCCGTGAAGAGACGGACATAAGTCTCAGGAGGCCCAGGGAGGTCACCAACGGGGTGTGTGTGCCTGTTTGTCATTCCCATAGGCCCCCGGATCAATGGATCAGAGGAGGATCAGAGAACAGGATAAATCAATTGATCCATAATCAAAATATCTCAGACTGAGCCCTTGCCTTAATATTGGCCACTAAGAGGCCCAACTACATGGTAAACCAGCCTTGGCTAATTTGGAAACGCTAAGCAGAGTTAGGAGTTGGATAGGAGACCACTAGGAAATCCATTAACTGCAGGCTAGATCAGGAAGCCACAATAAGTGAAATCCTGCAACAGACCACGGCAAACTACCGGTAACCCTCAAGTTACAACAGTTCATTTAGTGACCGTTCGAAGTTACAACGGCACAGAAAAAAGTGACTCGTGACCGTTTTTCACACGACCATCCCCGTGGTCACCTGATCAAAATTCAGACTTTGGGCAACTGGGGTTCATACTTATGACGGTCGCAGTGCCCCAGGGTCATGTGATCCCCTTTTGTGACTAACAACTGCAACAGTTCACTTAACAAATGTCTCGCTTAACAACAGGAAGTTTGGGCTAATTGTGGTCGTAAGTCGAGGACCACCGATACTTCTCTGCCCACGGAGTCCTCGGGAGCCAAGCAGGAACTGAAAGATGCTCCATCCAGATTCCGAACATGGTTGGCTGGGTTTTGCTCTTCCAAAATCAGATTAGGCTTGGATGGAGGGGCTAAAGATAACCCGGAGATGTGTTTTATGATGACTTGACATTAAATTAATGAAATATAATTCACAGCATCCACTCCACTGCTACGAAGGTCTTAATTTGCCCTGGCTTTGAGGTATCTTTAGCAAACTGGCCTTAAGCATTCCCGTTTCTTTTTTCATTTCCCCCCCACCCCAATATTTAAATAAGCCGACAAAACCCAATTAATAATTGACTTTTGCAGAACGTGACAGTCCTAGCAAGCCAGCTTTTTCCTCTGGGTTTTTCCCTGTTCCCTTCCTTCTCCTTTGCGTGGGAAAGAACAGTTTTAGACAGACATTTTTTTCCCCACAGATCAGATTTGCGCGAAACCTCTGCCGATTCCTGGGAAGTTTCACCGTCGGAAAACACGCATCCCCAACCGTGGATCTTATCTGAACTGCTTCAAACAGGACCACGCCGGCCGGCTGGCTTTTTATTTTTCTGATCTTCGGAAGTGAGGTTTCTTGGGATGTTCTTGCTGTCCAGAAGCTGCTTCAGCCGGTCCTGTTTGTCAACACAAGAAGCCACGCCCCCTCCTGGGAAGCCAGCCAATCGGAGGCCCAGCAGCCACACCTGGCCGAGGCAGGTAAGAACCATCCCGTCACCTGGAAGAGCAGAGGCTATAAAAGATTTCTCTGCCCAGGTGATGTGGGCAGTGGAGTTTGGGAGAAGATTGTTGTGTGCTTAAGGATTATCTCCAGCATGTTTCCCATGCCTTAGAATGGAGCAGAGCCTGTTTTATTCCATTTTTTGAAGTGAAGGAAGGAAAAGAAGAAGAAGAAGAAAAAAAAAAAGAGCCAGAAGCTAAAACATGCATTGTTGCTTCTAGGAGCTCCCAACTCAAGACAGGTGAGTTTGCTTTTGAAATGGCTTTGGGCAGGCGAGAAAAGGAATTCCCCAAAGATAGAGAATTTACCAGAGGTAAGAGAATGAGAAACAAAAAATCTTTTTGATTTGTTCCCGGAATATTCTGTTTTACTTATTTATTCATGCTTCAAGTAGGTGCCTTTCGCTCATAAATCTTGAACACTCTTGATTAACAGTGTAAAAGTAGCCTAAAATCAGTCCAAATGTTCTCCCGAGTTTTATTCTTGGGAGTCACCGCTTGGGCTTTTGGGATTTTTGAGTCATAATGTCTGTGACTTTGTCAAGAGGAACTCACTCTCTGATCAATAACTTGGTTTTAAGATATCCGGGGCTTGTGCAAAAAGCAAACGGTTTTAAATAAAAAAAAAAAATGGATCTGCAAAGCTCCAGATGACCACTAGGGGAAGCAGAGAGAAATGGATCTCGAAAGCTTTTCAGCCATCTAGAGGCCGGCTGGAGTTTTGCAAGCACAGGGTCTGCACAGATTTACAGCCGTTTGTTTTAATGACCAAAGTTAGGATACGGCTGAAAAAAAGGGACTTAAGACCAGTCCTTGTGTTTACAACCCATCTCTGTGGTTACATGATCAAAATTCAGGCGCTTTGGCAATCAGCAAGTATGTATGACAGGCACGGCATCCCGGGGTGTGTGTGTGTGTCATGTGATCATCACTTTCCCATCCCAACAAGCAAAGTCAATGAGGAAAGCCAAACTGGCTTCGTGAGCATGGCAAAAATGTGTGTGTGACTCATTTAGCGACCGCATCCCTTAGCAACAGACGCTCCAGGTTCCGATTGCTGTCGTAACTCAAGGACTATCTGCAGTTCCAATGAAATATGAAGGAGCATGTGATGCCGATTTACAACTGTGATCAACTTTAACCGCTCCGCGTCTACCAGCAGCCTCTGAGCATTTTTTGGAGCATGGTTACGGAATGACAATCTTGGGGTAGTAGATAAATCCACCGTCACGCTTGCTGGAAGGCAAAAGGCGGGACCCGTCCTTAAAAAAAATCCCTGAGTGTTAAATAGTTTGAAGTTGTTAAATAGTTTGAAGGCTCCACCTCTAGACGGTGCTTCTGACAAACATCCGGGCTCGTGGTCACTTAATCATCATCCCACGCGAGGCGATTGAGTGACTTCAAAGAGGATGTGGATGGGGAAGGCACGGGGACTCGTGCAGAGGCACACCGGTGTCTGCCAGAGGGACCTGTTATCTCTGGGGCATTATGAACAAATGAAAAGGTTCTGCTTTTTGAAAAAGTAAGTTTTTAAAAAAAAAAAAAAAATCCATGCTTTGGGGCGTGGATTTAATATGTGAAGATGGATGGATGAAGTTTTGTGCAACTGGAGGACCTCATGGACGGGAAGGGGGGGGAGATACCTTTGAAGGAGATCTCTTCTGGGAAAAAATGAAACGGGGGTCGCAATGGAGTATCTGGACTAGGAGTACAAATCAAGACCCTTTGATTCAAATTCAGCTTGGGGGGGGGGAGATTTTGCAATGGGGCTGAAGGAGTGATCCTTTTTGCAGCCCTATAACTTTTAAGGAAGCTTTGGGTGGCATCTGAAGTTCAGGATGTTTTGCCCCTTATGAATACAGTGAGAGCAATTAACCAGTGGAACAACCTGCCTCCAGAGGCGGTGAATGCTCCAACACTGGAAGTTTTTAAGAAGAGACTGGACAGCCATTTGTCCGAAATGGTGTAGGGTTTCCTGCCTGAGCAGGGGGTTGGACTAGATGACCTTCAAGGTCCCTTCCAACTTTACTATTATTATTATTATAATACTTCTGCTTCCACCGATTCATTTTAAAGAAACAACCCAAGAAGTCCACAGCAATGCTGTAAGCATTTTTTTCTTGCAAAATCGAACAGGTGACTCCATCCTCTGAATAAACATCACCCCAAAATCTCTGGGCAAATGACTGGGGTGACTCAGTTTCTTTAAATTCTCCAGAGAAGCTTTGGCTCCCAAACCTGTTTTACCTGTTCGGAGTAATTTAACTGTGAGTTACCCACCGCCTCCATTACTACCACCCATTTGGGCTAAGTGCTCAGTAGCTTGCAAATTTTGCTGCGTTTCCATTTCTTAGAAGTTGCTCTCTAAATAAAGCAGCCAGCGGACGTTTGCCGCGGTTGACATCCCAGCTCAGCCTCTGCTCCTGAATTTCCTGAGGCGGGAGGAATCACAAAATAAAAAAAAAAAAAGGATATATATATATATATTTTTGTCCCGGCATTTGCCTTCTGTCCCCCAGGCCTGGGGCACGCACGTCCCTTAGACAGGTGCCAAGCTCTGAGAAATTAAACACATTGTAAATAAAAGCCAGGTGGTTAGCACAATTAGCCTGGGATTTGATAGGGCCAGTAGTTGCTGTTAGGAGGAGATAAAAGCAGACACGAGGTGAGGTTTACTCATGCTGAGATGATGAGAACCAGGAAATTCCCCCTCTGCCGCCGTTTTTGCTGGTTCATGCTTGCAAAGCGGGGGGAAAAAAGGCAAAGCTAAATCAAAATAGGAGAGATGGGCTGCTTTGTTAGGAAGCGGAAAATCCTGAACAGGCAAAACATCTCCGCTGGCAGAGCTGTTTTTCCGCAGGGGACGGAGGATCTGCTTGCAAGCCGATGGTGGAAAGAAGGTTTATTTATGTATGTGGAAGGTGCAGTCTCTTGCCAACAACACAAGGATACTCTTCCCAGGCCCGGAGGGATGTAAGTCTGTTTGCGGGAGAATCAGAAAACTGGTCCTCGTTTTAGGGAGATCTCAAGTCTCCGTCCCCTTTGACCATCTGACAAGTTTCAGCATCGCAGGAGAGAGAAAAGGGGTGTTTTTCTGGACGTCCGAGAAGAAACGAGACAAGATGGTCTTCTTAAGACTCGTGGTCAGGAGTGGTAGTTCCAAAGCTGGGAAGATATCTGTGTGTGTGTGTGTGTGTGTGTGTGTGTGTGTGTAGCACAAAGCTTCACAGTTCATTTTTTTTCTTCAGCCCCTACAAACACAACAAAGGGCAAATTGTGTGCAGCTGGCTCTCGAACACACATCCCGAACCGAGGGAGTTTAGCCACGCTGGCATCCGGTACGCTCTGAACTTGATTCTTATTCTGGTTTGTCTTAGGCTTTGTGCGCGGCCGGCCAACGCTGCTCCCCAGCAAACAGAGTCTCTAGCCGGACCCCCCGAGATCCCTTGTGGATTTCATGGAGACAGCAACACTCCTGCCTTCTCAATTTAGGAGAAGCACCGGCTGGGGTACGTGTGATTTTATTTTATTTTTTCTCTTTTAACACAGCTCTTTCTTGGTGTTTTGGAGGAGGGGGTTCTCAAGTTCTAAGGGAAAAATCTGCCGACGTTCCCTATCTCCGATATTCTGGACAAGTGAATAACATGTGGATTTTTATTCGCATGGAAGGTTAAGGAAGTTTTGGGGAAGACTGAAGAAAAAGAGGGTAGGGTCTTAAAAAGAGTTAGGAAATAAATCTCTACGGCAGTGTTTCTCATCCTTGGCAACTTTTAAGATGGGTGGACTTCAACTTCCAGAATTCTGGGAGTTGAAGTCCACCCAGCTTAAAGTTACTTTGAGAAATACTGATGCAGAACAACTCCATGTTGGCTTACTACAATTAATCCTGGTTTCTTATTTCCATAGGTTCTGTTATGTCCTGCTTCACCCAGGTCTGGCACACCGAAGTGCCAGAATCTCCACCCTCCACTCCCCAAAGTCCCATCCCGGCGGCCCCCCACGAGAGACCCATCCCGCTCATTCCGATTGTCATCACCTCTCCCTCTGAGGAAAACAGACCCGCCGTGTGTTCGCCCGTGGGGTCTCCGGTGGGCTCTCCCGTGGATGGGAAGACCAGACTGGGCTCTCCGACGGACCGGCCCACCTCGCCGATCGAATGCTCCATCTGCTTCAACACCTACGACAACCTCTTCAAGACGCCCAAGGTCCTTCACTGCCATCACACCTTCTGCTTGGAGTGTTTGGCCCGGCTGACGGCCGCCCTGCCACCCAACCGGGTGGAGGACCAGCTTCCCTGCCCCTTCTGCCGACAGTTGACCGAAATCCCGCTTGAAGGGGCTCCGGGGCTCCAGACGAGCAAAGAGTTGATGGCCACGCTGCCCGCCGAGCTGCAGAAGGAGAAGAACCTCTGGATGGAAGGGACCAAGCTGTGCTGCAGACAGTCCTCCGATCCGGAGAACGCCCACACCTACGTCGCCATCGACATTGCCCCCAGCAAGCCCGAGGTCCCCGAGACGCCCACAGAGGGGGTCATGGGACGCCTCTCCCGCTGCTCGATTTGCGACGACTGGAAACGGGTCCTCCTGCTTTCCGTGTTGATCGTCATTCTCTTCTGCATCATCCTGTGGCCGGTCCAGTGTATCGTCAAGACGGGGAACTTGAAGTGCCTCAACAAATTCACGCTCCCCCGGCCAAACTACGTGCCTTACCATCTCACCACCCCAGCCCCCGTGCTGGACCTCACCAAATTCATGGAGTGACGGACGGGAGGGCCGTGCGGTACCGCTTCCGACGGGTGGGGCGAGCGCTGATCATTTGGGAGAAAGTCCACTGGAGTCCAAGTCTCTTCTGGAAGGAACCAACGACGTGGGGTGGACTTCTCCTGCCCTTTCTAGAGGATTGCGTCGGGTTTGATGGACCCGGCGCAACGCAACTCAGGGGAACGCTTGGGGCGTCCACCGTCTTGGGACAGTTGGATGCTCTTGATCACGTCAACCTGATGCCCACTTCCACACCTCCTACGTTGTTCTGTGGTTTGCCAACCTGCTTTGTGAGACTCCACTGCTGAAGTCCATGTAGGGGAGAACACACACTCCGCAACGGGGAGAATGGTGACAGTGGCGAGAGAACCAAGAGACTTTCCCCTCCCAAGAGACGCAACTCAGAGCCAAGGGACCAAACTCTACATACTCTCCCCTTTTGCTGAGGGTAAGGGGCTGACCCTCGACACTTCCGGTTTCATTTGGGCGAAAGGAGAGGACGCTTCCTTTTCTATTGTTATTAAACATTTCAGTTTTATACCGCTGAATTGTGAGTGGCGCAGTTGTTGTTATTGGGGTAACATTTTGCCCCGCCTGTTCTTATGGCAGATCAGAAGAGGGAGAAACAGACGTAACTGGAAGAGAAGGAGGAACGATATTGGGGCAACTGAGATGATATAAAGAGCAGTGGGGATATCCTGCTGGGGCAGCGAGAGAGGTTCATACGGGAAAGTTCTCAACTTACAGCCAAAATTGAGCTCAAAATTTCCATTGGTAAGCAAGACGGCTGGGAAGTGAATTTCCCCCCATTTTATGACCTTTCTCGACCGTTGTTAAATGAACCCCTGCAAGTTGTGAAGTTAGCCACACGGTTTCTTAAGTGAATCTGGCTCCCCCCACTGACCTTGGTTGTCAAAAGGGGATCACATGTTCCTGGGACACTGTAACCGTGATAAATACGAGTCAGTTTCCAAGCATCTGAATTTTTATTTATGGGGCCCACGGGGACGCTGCAGCGGTTGTGTGGAAAACGGTCGTAAGTCCCTTTTTTCAGCGCCACTGTAACTTTAAACAGTCACTAAACGAACGGTTGTAACTTGAGGACTATCTGAATCATATTAATTGGTGGCTTCAACTCTGCATGTTCAGATCATGTTCAGGCATAAGAAAACTTGCAACCTTACCATATTATTGTAAGAACCGTTGATCGGGGCAGAGAATCGTGAACTACAGGGTCCCACCAGGCTCAGCTCATGTTGATGGATGCTGGGAACTGTATTTCAGGCATTTCTACATTTTTATTAGGCCCTGGGTTAATCTACCTGGACAATTCACTAATGTGTGGGGGGGTCACAGTTCTTCTGTGAGATCAAATTCAAATTTTCTCAGCCTTAGCAACTTCAGAACGAGTCGACTTCCACTCTCAGAATTCCCCAGCCAGCATTGTGTGGACTTCAACTCCCAGAATTCTCGGGCCAGCATGCTCAACAGTTGTAACCCCTCTGCTCTAAACAAAGACACTTGTTAATTCGCCATATGTTTTTGTCTTTTATATATATATATATTTATATATATACACATACGTACATCCCCACGGTGATTTGTAGCCTCTGTTACAGGCAGAGACGCTTGTGGATAAATACAGCATAGCAAGAAAAGGAAGGAAATATATTTTGCCTCTTGCATAAATTAGACCAGCAGTTTTCAAGCTAGGCAACTTTAAGTTGGGTGGAGTTCAATTCCCAGAATTCCCCAATCAGAAATGTCTAGAATCCCCCAATCAGCAGGATGGTGGGAGAATTCTGGGAATTGAAGTCCACCCCTCTTAAAGTGGCCAAGGTTGAAACCCACCGAATCAGACCAACGATTGGTCTTACAAGACAAGAGTTTCCTTAACTGGAGTCTAAGGTACATTCAGGATGGAAAATCCAGGTGGGAATTAACCTAGGTCAGACCTGGAGGAGATAACGACACACCTTGAGGCAGAAACACAACTGGTGTCCTTTCAGATGGCGCCGTTTTTAAAAACCAACCCTTGGGAAGCCCGTAGGAGTTTGATCACATCCGTAAAAGCCAAGACGGGAAAAGGATGCAGCGTTTCAGTTTTTCGTTCCTCCCACCCCACCGTAGCGCAGGGATATTTCAGTCTAAAAGGCAAATAATCCTGAAATGGATTATTCGAGTGTCGGCTGGATTCAACAGGGTTCGGCTGTGGGTGGGTGGGCTTCTGGAGAGGAGGGTCCTACGATGCAGTGCTTGGGTGACGCGATCCACCGGTCTGTCAAATCAGAACACAAAATAACACACCTGGACACATGCCTACCTACTTTATAGCCACCTGTCTCCAGCCTGGGCTATAGCAACTATCTTCCGGAGTTAGTAAATCCTGAGACTTTGGCGGTTTTGATACTGAGATTCTCGTAGACGGAAGTCGTTTCCTCGTCAGCCACTCTGCGGAATAAAAGAGGGAGAATCAGCAACCAACTTTACCAACCGGCTGACATGTATATGTACCCGTACACATTCGAACTAGGCTATGATGTGTCTCTGTGTCCTATACATGTGTGTATGTGGGCACATGCATAGTGGTATTTTTTTGAGAGCTGAATGCAACGAAATTTCATTTTAATGTACGCTGATTCGCGCACATTTAAAGTGACAATAAAGATTCTATTCTATTCTATTTATTTCTATTTCTATTATTTCTATTCTGTATTCTATTCTAATTTTGCCAATGCTAGGGAGAGGGGGCCAAGGGAAGGAGAGAATAAAGGATCTTACCCTATCTGGATCCGAGGCGAAGGAGGGCGGGTTTTGGCCCTGGGTTTTTCCATCGGCAAATATCGGATATTTAAGTAACCTGTGTCCTTCCGTAGACATCTCTGAAACAGCAGGAAAAAGTTGCAATGGTTTTATGATTACTCATGAGAGCGGTCATCCAATTTCTAAGGGGTTGCCAGAAAGAAGAGGAGGGGTATGTGTGTGTCAAGCTATTCTCCAAAGCGCCTGAAGGCAGGACAAGAAACAATGAAATGGAGACTCATCAAGGAGAGAAGCAACCTGGAACTAAGGAGAATTTTCCTGACAATTAGAACAATTAACCAGAAGTTGTAGGTGCTCTATCACTGGAGGCTTTTAAGAAGAGACTGGACAGACACTTGTCTGAAGTGGTATAGGGTCTCCTGCTTGAGTAGGGGGTTGGACTAGAAGACCTCCAAGGTCCCTTCCAACTCTGCTTTTTTTGTTCTGTTCTGTTCTATGATAAAATGCTTATTTTTAAGTGCCGAAGAAGTCAGGAGATTCGGGCAGTTCAAATGAATATAAATATTTATTGCAAGCTTAAGCTCTCTACAAGAATCTGAAGTACTAACAGCCAAGGGAAATTAGAGGGAGAGAAGAGTAGAAGGAATTCAAGGTGGGCTGGACTTAGATCTCTTGTGGGAACGCAGGGACTCATGACTGATGACGCCTTTGACCCCTCCCTCCCTTGGGCTCAGCCTGGTCATCTCCTACACTTATGCAGGTTAGGTGAAAACTTCCTCTGAAGTCCAGCATTTTCTTCCAGTGAGAGGCCTTGAGCAAACCCAATGCACAGCTCGTTAAGTTGAGGACTACCTGTAGTAGGCATGTTCACCACATTGACTTAACTTATAAAAATATAACAAAGGCAGGCTATTAACTAAAATGCACAACTGATAAATAATAAAATCTCCGGTGGGAGATAAATAGCCCGCCAGGGCCTTGTAACGGAGGGGATTTCTCCGAGCTAAATTAACCACCTGTGGGTCTCTCTTATTTTGCACCAACGGTGTGTTGACCTTACCTGTTCCTCTTCTAGCTCCTTCTGCTGCATCGCGATGAACTGTTGCACCGCCATGTAGACAAATTTGTACTGGGCTTCCGTCTGCACCATGCCCGACCTCTGCCTTCGTACCATCTGGATTGTCTTTGAGATATCGATGTCACAATGCAAGCCTGTTGTGGGTCAGGAAAGAGAGGGGGGAAAAAAAGAGTTAAAAAATGGCCAGGCAGGCAGATCTATAGGAGGAGGGCGAGGGTGTCCACGTTAGACTCTTACGCTCGTGATTATTTATTTTTATAGGCAGGCAGTCCTTGATTTATGGGGACCAGAAGATTTGACAATAATTAAGTGAGGCCTTACAGGCCCCCCCCATCCAATTTTGATCTTTTTTGCCGCGATTGACCTTGACTTACGACCGATCATTTAGCCGCCGTTCCAAGTTACAACGGTGCTGAAAAACGGCACGACTGGTCCTCATTTAGGGAGTCCTCGCCTTCAGCGGGGAAGACAGACTCACTTAACAACTGGGTTAATAACTTAACAACTTCAGTTGTGCAAGAAACTGGGGCAGAACCCACTTAATGAATGTCCCGTTTAGACACAGGAATGTCGGGCTCCCTTGTGGCCGTCGAGGACCGCCAGCAACGGCTTCCTGCATAAAATGAGAGAAAAGGCCAGGTTGTGTTTACCTTGTCGGTGAATCGTGTCCACCAGCATGTCTATTACGATGATGGTGCCCGTCCGTCCTATCCCAGCACTGGGAAAAGGGAGAGAAAGGGAAGAGGTCGAAAAGATATCCATACAACTCTCCCTGACGAACACACATCACCATCCACACCACACAACTTGTAAGGAAAGACTGAGGGATCTCTGTTAGGAGTACAATCCAAAGCTGACCCTGGAAGTAAGGGGCAGAAGCTTGTCGAAGCAAAATCCAGCCTAGAAGTTGAGGAGAAATTTCCTGACGGTGAGAACAATTAATCCATGGCCTCCCGGAGTTGTGCTCCATCACTGGAGGTTTTCAAAAATAGACCCTTTGGCCAGGATGGTGTTAGGTCTCCTGCCTTGAACAGGGGGTTGGACTAGAAGACCTCCGAGGTCCCTTCCAGCCCTAGGATTCTAGGTTCTAATGGAGAGAAACTGAGGCAAACACGTGATCGTTACATTCACGGTCCACCGGCTGAACCAGAAGGAATTGAGAGCTCCTCCCCAAAGGTTTATAGGTAGTCCTTGACTTATGACCGCAGTAGGGACCAGGAAATTTGCTTTAAGTGGTGCAGATGTTAAGTGAGGCATTGCAGGACCACGTCCGGTTTTACAATCTTTTTTGTCACCGTTGATAAGCGAGACATCACTTGACCATGATGTCGGACTTCCTTCTGGCTTCCCCAATGACTTTGCTTGTCGGAAGCCGGCTGGGAAGTCATAAATAGGGGTTGGTAAGCGAGACAGCCCTTGACCATGATGTCTGACTTCCTGCCGGCTTCCCCATTGACCCTTATTTATCGGAAGCCAGCTGGGAAGGGCATAAATGGTGGTTGGCAAGTGGGACAGCCCTTGACCGTGACGTGGGACTTCCTGCCGGCTTCCCCAATGACCCTTGCTTATCGGAAGCCAGCTGGGAAGATTGCATATGGCAACCAAGTGACTGCAGGATTTGCCAAGTGTCCAAATCACAGGACTGCTGGGACACTTTGATGTTTGTCAAGGTGAAGACCAGTCATCTCTCATCAGTCGTTAACTTCAAATGGTCGTAAATTGAGGACTACCTGTACTGGAAGAGGGATCTGAAAGAAAATGTCCTTCTGAACCTGCCCCTAGTTGATTTGGGTAGAAGAACCAGTAGAAGCTCCAAGCAGGTCTTGAGGGCACCTGGGCAAAGAGGAAGAGCCCAAATCCAGGTGTCCTGATGTCCCTCACCTGCAGTGCACCACAATTGGTCCCGACTCTGGAATATTTCTGTGGGCCTTGTTGATTTGGTCCAGAAAGCCGAGGACTCCGCCTGGCTCGATCGGGACCCCATGATCAGGCCAGCTGAAATACTGGAAGTGCTTAATTTTTCTGGGCTGTTCTTCCTGGACAGAAGGAGAGAGGGATGAGATTAAAATCGTGCAGAAATATTTATAGGTCACTGTGAGGGGGACCTTCACTGATTCGGGAGACGTCGGTGGGGGAATTGTGAAGTGTGATGACGGGCAAAGCAAGTCACTGAGGATTAACATAAACAGAAATAGGTAAATATTTGCATGGCTGCCCCCACGGTGAAAATAACATAACCCCGGCTCTGTGATTTGCATGCTCCTTTCCGAGAACTTCTGAGTCACTTAGTGTTTGCAACAAGAAAATAAGAGAACAGAGAGAAGGACCCCGGAAGGGCGTGAGTCATTAAACCACCAAAGGAAATTGGGCTGGCATTAACTGCGCTGTAGGGACGAAATGGCGAGAGGCTGTCAGAATAAGACCAGCATGGGCAGAGATTGGACTGGAAAGCACAACAAAGAAACTACACACAAAAAGCAGGCTGAAAAAGAAAAAGAAACTGCATCTTTTGGGACCCCCGTTTGAAACCGCAGGCAAATAAATTATCTGAAATAATTTCCCGTTGTTCTGCTGCTTTTTATAGTGGCCCACAAATGTAGGTAGCATGTTAAAAAGCCCAATAAAACCCCCACTTGCTATCTTGGAGGATCAACAGGTTTCTATAAAGACACTTTGTTGGCACGAGGACTAGAAACACGGCTTTTTAAAAACAGGAACACCCCCCCCCCCAATCTACCCTGTCTATCCGTGCAATCTGCAAATCCCGGATGTAGTAACCCTGACATTCTCGCTCCCCGGTGTTCTCCACGCCGATGTTGCCGAATTCCTTCGTACAATTTTGATCCGGCCAGTAGCGAAAACACTTGTTCTGCAAGGCAAAAAGAGGAGAGGGACAAACTCAGTTCACACGACACGCAAAGCCGAAAAAGCAGTTTCGCTGGGTTTTTTTCTTTTTTCTTTTAAAAAAGTGCGGAGTGAAGAGGGCTCGTATAGGAGGGTTTCGCGTGCCTTGTGAATCCAGCCAGTTAAGACAGCAACGCCAAATGATGCCCCAAGCTTTTGATGTGACGGGGAGGGGCACTTAGGAAGGGCTCACCCTGCCTCGCTCGACCTCCTTGGTGGTCATGACGATAATGTGGGTGTTTTCCTGGTAGATCATGGTCCAAAAGTCATTGACGGTGCTTTGGAGACAGCCCTGGGTGGCGATGTAGATTTTACGGTGTTCGGCGCTGTGACCGTCTTCCAGAGTATTCTAGAACAGGGGAGAGGAGAGAGGAGGGTTTTGCTAGATGGGAGGACAGAATATAAGGCAGGGACCCCAAATGAGGAAAGGCAGGGGCTAAACTAAAGGAACAATAGAATAATAGAAAAATAGAGTTGGAAGGGACCTCAGAGGTCATCTAGTCCAACCTTCTGCTCAGGCAGGAAACCCTATACCATTTCAGACAAATGGCCGTCCAGTCTCTTCTTAAAAACTTCCAGCATTGGAGCATTCACCGCTTCTGGAGGCAGGTTGTTCCACTGGTTAATTGTTCTAACTGTCAGGAAGTTTCTCCTTAGTTCTAGGTTGCTTCTCTCTTGGGTTAGTTTCCATCCGTTGCTTCTTGTCCTGCCTTCAGGCGCTTTGGAGAATAGCTTGACTCCCTCTTCTTTGGGGCAGCCCCTGAGATACTGGAAGACTGCTATCATGTCCCCCCTCGTCCTTCTCTTCATTAGACTAGACATACCCAATTCCTGCAACCAAGATTTTTTTTTTCCATCTAGGTTGATTTGCCATTTAGGAGATGAACTTCCAATAGACTCTTCATTTTTTTATATCTATATTCTTTCCATTTCTTTTTCTGTCATTCCATCTCTGGACGTTTTCAAGAAATGGACTGAATCACAGAAGAACAGAGTTTGGAAGGGACCTTGGAGGTCTTCTAGTCCAGCCCCGTGGTCAAGCAGGAAACCCTGTACCATTTCAGACAGATGGTCGTCCATTCTTTTCTTCAAAGTCCCCAGTGTTTGGAGCAGTGTTGGAAGGCTCAGACTGAACTAAATCACCACCCACTGAAGCGATCACCGAATTAGGCTCCTTCATTAGAGATTATTAGATTGTCTGCTTTTTTAACAAGCTGATTGGATTTAAACCGCCGACAGTCTGGAGCTTCTCACCCCTTGCAGGCCAAACATTTTCACAATATTTTTTTTCCTTGCTGCATTTATCCAATCTCAAGAGCAAGGAAAAAAGCCCCCCAGCCTTCCCTTCACATGTACAATTTGAAAAATAAAAATGACTGTTCTGCAATTTTGGGAACCTCGTCCCTAATGAACCGTCTTAGATCAGCTCCCAATTGCCTGCCACTCACCTTAATATAATTGGCATTGATGTAATCGGAACTCGGGACTCTGGGATCCGCGTTCCGGAGAGCCACCCGCGTTGTGTCAACTGTAAGGGGAGGGAAACAGCATCACCGCCAGAAAAAAATTAGCGTCCGTCTTGAAAAATTGCAAAAATATTTTAATTTAATGCCCAGATTTATATCCTGAATGTGTTCGATTGCCCGCTTTTTTTTTAAAAAAAAAAAATCTTAATTGCTTTCAACTCCTGGGTGGGATTTTGTTCACAATCAAAACAGAGAGAAGAGCCCTCCAGCTCAGCGCTTCTCTGCACAACAACCCTCCAAGGGAGGCACGCAGGGCTCAAATTGGGTGAAAGAAGGCTGCCATGCCACTCAGCTAACCTCCAGGATACAAACTGGGCTCTGAGTGCGAAACAGGTGAAATTCTGGGGTTGCTTAAAAAGAGGGAAGCATGCAAGAACAGGAAAAGCACCAGCCATAATTCTATTTTCTATGATTATAGTCTTCCTTTAAAGGCAAAACATTTCCCACTTTTCGGATAGCTTAAAATTCCATGGAATTCTTACACGGAAGGATGTTTTTGTAGCGATTCTTCGCCTTGTTCTCGACGCGCTGCCCTTCCTTCCTGGGATAGAGAAATTTGCACTCCTGCTGCTGTAACATCTGCAGGAGCCAAGAAGTCAGGAAGGAGTCACCGTTCCCATCGTTGGCTTTAAAACAAACCCCATGATCCCCAGCAACAGCTGGCCTAAGCCAGGGGGATGGGGAAAAAGATCCCACCCCGACATTTCATATCTATCTGGGTGAAAATTCTCAGAGTTAATAATAATAATAATAATAAAGTTGGAAGGGACCTTGGAGGTCATCTAGTCCAACCCCCTGCTCAGGCAGGAAACCCTATACCATTTCAGACAAATGGCTGTCCAGTCTCTTCTTAAAAACTTCCAGTGTTGGAGCATTCACCCCATGCACAGGAGATTTGATTGGCCCTTTTCCCCCCCCCCCCGTACCTCAAATTCTTCCCAGAATCCTTGCTTCGCTTTCTCGCTCTGGTCGGCCATCTTGTTCAGCTCCTTGACCCGGTTCTCAATGTTGGCGGCGATGATCCTTGTGGCGTTGAAAGGCTGGCGGAGACAGAATCTTCTCTAGATGTTGAAGGAGAGAGAGACCCCTGTCTCTTCCTCCCCCCCCCCAGTCCCCAGTTAAACGTTCGGCACAGGTGACCAACTTACCTGTTTCAGGTGTACCACCACCCCGGACTTCTCCACCATGGGGTTTTTCTTGTAGTGCTCCACCAAGTCGGCCAGCGTGTCGAATCGCTCTCCCCCGCCCACGTCGTACTTTCCGTCCAGCTGCCAAAGGAGAACCAGGAATGAA